CAGGTTCAAAGAAATACATATTTCCTCACAACAACTTTTAACATTGACCCAAAATAAATATTCTTTCATCTGTGTTCTCAAAATTATAAACACTGCGTGTTAAAGATGCCTGTGTATCCATACATGCCTGAACTTTTCTCAAGAAACTCTATATGCTGTCATTAAAATAAGTTTATAAATTTTACTAACAAGTAATATATATTCCAGTGATAAGGTTTCCTGTATAAGAAAATTCCTAGTAAAGAAAATGTTTAGATAATAAAGTTAAAACAGTGTCACGTGGGTTAGAGTTGAAGTTGTTATGATACAATATACCTGCTTTTATTTTTATAAAAAAGTGGTGTGTTTGTTGGGTGGGTATTATAAAACCTATGGGTTTTTAATTGGTGCCTTCTTGGTTTTCAGATACTCTAGTTTTGCTAGATTTTTAACCTGGAATTGTACAGATACCAACCCCTCATATTAATCACCTTGATGTGGTTTTATTTTTTTGTAATGTAGATCAGTTTGTTATAAATGTACAGTTATATTTTGAACTGTAGAGCTATTCCTATGTACTGGAAAATCTCAAAACTGCACTTACATTCTTAGCATCATCTTAATCAAATATTTTTAGAGTGTCTGCACAGCTTACAAGAATGCTTTCAGCTTTCTGAATTCATGGGCATGGAGAACTTCAGGAAGATTAGGACCAAATGTTGGCTCCCTCATTTCCTTCTTGTGTCTGAAAAGGATTGGAAATTCAGTTTGTAACAGACACCGAGTTGTCAGCTTTAATAGTTACTGTGTAAGTTAGTGGTACTCTACAGCTGGTAATGGTTTATCTACCATGAAATGGCACTTAACTGCAAACAGCTGTACAGGAAATGACAGCCTACTGAAACAACCATTGTAAAATATTTTTGGCCAGTGAACTTCCAATTATAAGTGAAAATCTTATTTATTCTATATATTTTCTTTTTCTTTAGTGGCACTAGAGGTCCTATTTAGGATTTAATACACCACTCTTTTTAAGACCGTGGTCCTCAGCCTTTTCTGTATCAGTAACACTTGAGGGTACCCTCTACTCCCAGCCCCGACATGCCTGCAAATGCCTTCCCTCTGCACAGAGCCAGGTAGACTGAAATTCCCTCTCAGCTATTTGCCACCTCCTGGTTAAGGTTGTCCATGGTGCTCACTGAGAGTACCTACAGTGACAGAAAAATCCTTCTTCAGGAAAATTGGTAAAGATAAACAATGAGATATATGCCAAAGGCAGGAAAACAAATGAAAGCCCAGGGTGTATGAAATACAGTGAAATTTTCTGCCAGTCTCCATGATTAATCAGTGGTTACCCTCTCCTGGGGTGCTGGGCAGGACACTGCCCTTCTCCACTGCAGGCGAAGCAGTGGCATTGTTCACACTGTCCCTTCTGTTCCCTCTCAGGTATCACAAAATACGTTATAGTGAGTACAGGGTGTTGTAACGAGTTGGAGTGTACCAACTTTTCTGGTTCATCTCCAAGAAGGGTACAGCCTTACTGTATCCAGGTGTGCTTCTTTCAGGGCTGGGCCATTTTTAATTAACCCAGGGGTTTTTTATTAGAGGAACAAAGGTAATAAAAACCCCTTGAATGGTTGAAGACAATGAAGGGAAGAAGATTCAGTTTTCCAACCTAGGAGGAGGAGGAAGAGGAAGAGGAAGAAATTGCTGATTGTACATCCAGAAGAAAAGGAAGATCTTTCAAACTGTTGGGTCTCACACATTTTTTTTGACTAAACTGATCTCAGCATTTCTCTTTCTCTTTTGCTTTCTGTTGAAAAATATTTTACGAATGGACTCCCAGTAACTTCCTTTGCTATAAAACTGGTAAGAGACTCCAGAGTAATGGTTATTGGGTTATTTCTCAAATGGTTGACATCAGTCCTTCTTCAGAGGAGAACAGGGGGATGAAGTGCAGGGACAAGACTGAAGTTAGGAGACTTGAGCTCTGCTTTTGACTTTTGCTTTGACTTCTGTGATCTTGATAGACGGGTGTATTTTGGGGGTCCTAATTCATAGTCTCTAATGAAAGTGGTTCTAAAAGTAGTCCCATTAAATGAATAAAACCGAAAATATAATCATTTCTGTTCAGTATAGAATTTACCTGTACCTGTATTTAGCTACTTCTCTATACTAATAATACTCAAAGAGTTTAATGAGAGACTTTAATGATATTTATGAAATACTTTGTGATTCATCTATGAAATGCATTATTTATTATATAGAGGCTGGAAATAATTTCTTGCCCACCTGGATTTGCTCAGAAAATTATTTTTGTGGTCTGTGAAATCCACAGCTGTTTATTGTTTTCATGTGAAAAGCTACAGCTTTTGTTTTGTTTGTTTGTTTTTGACAGAATAATGGGCTCTTAAATGTTTCCTAAAAAGGTGAAAGCTACCAGTATAGACAAAGGTTTGCCTGTAACATATATGGACATATTTTACTTGAAGGCATAGGAAGATACTTTTTGGTAATATAGAGTACTTCTGTTAGAAGATTTTAAGTAAAGGTTTTATGGCCTTTAGCAGGATCTGTTACACGTGTTCTGTAAAATAATGTTCCTAACAGAGTGCAATGGTATTTGATGCAATTTCTTTCATGAGCCGTAGTGCAGAGGTAGCCCCCAGACTTTTAGAGCAAGAATTCACTGTCTCCTGTTTGCTTAAATGTTTACAAGCGGCAAGTGTATTTCAAAGTAAGTGCTTGTTAAAGGAGGAAAAATAAATGGATCATTTTAAGCAGTCACAGTAAGAATCACTATATTTTTATGGATATAATCTGTATCTCCGATAACTTGTACTCCTTTCAAAGAAGTTGCAAGTAGGTCCTCCAAAAACTGCACAAAATCAGAGTCCAGAGAGCTGTTGAGGGTGAGGAGAGGGATTAGGAGAGAGTGATTCAAGGGCAAACTTCCCTCTTCCTTATACCTGTGTATAAACCTTATCAATACAGGTTGAAAAGAATTTGTTTTTACAGGTAGCCAGTGGGTTTAAACATGAAAATACAGTCTTTCTCATTCTTTCAGAGCAATTAGAATAGTAAGTTTTTATGTTTGTCACAGCAAGTATTTACAGCAGCACTGCAGTTTGCATGGGGATCTGATCACTGTCTAAGGAACAGGCCTTGGTGAAAGAGTGGGCACAGAAATAGCATGGCACATACTTAATTTCTGGGATTTGATATCTTAACTTTGAACTTGAGCTGTATTATTTCAAAGTCTGTGGGCTGGGAGTATGGCTTCATCAGCCAGGCTGGAAGGGGGCTGTGATGAGTGCAGTGGGTTGTCCCAGCGAGGGAACTGGTGGAGACGTTTGCTCCTCACATTTGTAGAGACTTAGCGTTGTCCCCCAAAAATGAGGGGACATGTAACGCCTGTTTCAGAGGAGTAGTGGTGGAACATTTTTAGTTCCCCAATGATTTCTGTAAATCCTTTAAAGATGTTTGGACAGTTGCCATGGACACCCATGTTAAAATTTTTGTCCAGAATCAGAACAGAATGGGACCACAAGTTAGGAGAAGAACCTAGAAAGAAGGAGAAAAGCAAAAAGGGAAAGGACTTCAGTGTTGCCAAACAATTCACAATCTGGTACTGCCTGTCCCATGTATAAGTGAGATAAGAGAAATGAAATGAAAGTATAGCCTGTGTGAAAGTGGGGGGATCAAATACAAAATATTATGTCATGTGATACTTCAGAAAATCTCTGCAGTATTGCCTAGGAAACACACTGCCAGTTTGCAGTCAGCAGCCTACGCATCTCATGGCTCTGAGCAACAGTTAGCGTCTCAGGAAAGCCCCTGGGACCATCTGTAGCTGAAGCGTGTTTTACGTGTCACACAATCTCAGTCCCCAGAATAGGGCTTTTACACAGACTTGCTTTGGCAAGCATGGCAAGCCTGCAAAGCCCTTGTTTTGTTTTTTCGCTGCTTCCTCAGCACTCTCGGTTCAAACTTCTGCACCTTTCTTCCTGTCCTGTAGGTCAAGCGACTGCTGGCCAGGGTTAGTTCTTTCCGTCAAACTAGATCTTTTGATTCACCGTATGGGTTGTTAACTACTTTGTTACTAATCCCAAGAATTATAGGCTAGCTTTTATTTTTGTACATTCCTCCATGTGTTCTCCTAAAGAACTGATAAAACAAATGATTCTCTAGATTCCCTCTGTTGATCAGGTATATTGGTTTCCTTTCATGGGAGTCTGGAGGAGATGAAAACTGCCTTCAGTATGACTGCTTTGCAGTGCACGCCTACAGGCTGTTTCTCAAGATCATTCAGGACAGCTTCCAAACTTTCCCTTGGCATATTTTGACCAATATCATGTTTCCACAGCACTGATTTATTCAGTAATGTATATGGCAGATGCCATATGCTTTGAATTATTTCAGGAGTTAGTGTCTTCTGAACAAGCAGGGATTTCCCACATACCTTTACGTTTCTCAACAGCAATGCATAAGGTAAGACTGAAGGATAGACTACTTTGATTAGCCCCTGATTTTTAAATGTTGACTTAGAATGGTGGTAGATAAGAGAAGGGATTCCTTTAACTACTGTTCATGAAACACACCCTACATCAGGCTGCCCTGTGGGGCCCAGAGCATCTGTCGGCCCATTGCACTGGCACCTGCTTTCTGCGTATTCTGAGTTACATCACCTGTGGTGTTGGCCATAGATGCCAGGCTGACAAAGTGTTTCTTGGACAGATAAAGAAATTTGGAAGTCCCTGAGGCATTCCACCATCCACAGTCATTGGTGTGATTTCCTTCCATAGCAAGTAGGTGAGATGGTAGCTGCCGCTTGTCAGAACTGTTGTCAAGCGCAATGGAATGAATGTATTGGAACTGTGTCGCGCTCAATGGAGTGAGTGTATTGGAACCGAAGTTTTGTCTGAAGGTTAGCTCTGCATGGGAAATATTCATAAAGAGGATGTCTGGATATCCAATGTTAACAACAGAAACTGATGCTTTTTTTCTGTCTGCCTCTTTAGGTCTCCAAAAGGTGACGTCCACAGTGAAGGATATGTCTTGGAGGTAGAGTGCTGTTCCTCTGTAAACCAACTTTCAGACAAAAAGGAGATACCTGATTTTATTAAGAAAGTGAGTAAAAAAAAAAAGGGGGGAAAAACCAAAACACAATATGCTTTTATTTGCACAGTAATTACTGCTTCTAGTTGTGTCAGTCTGACAATAGGAATATGTGTACATTTTGTGCTGTTGAAACCCTGCACTAGAATTTGGTGTTTTGTAATTTTAAGTATCTGAAGGGCAATTATACTTATTGAGAGAAACAAGTTTCATCATATTATTATGAAAAATGTGCCCTCTCACAGATGATACCAACTAAGTTACCACTGTAGAAGATGGTCATATAATGGTGTAAATGTTTTAAGTTGAAACAATACATGTAATTTCCATTTTTTGGTCAAAATACCCCGTTGGATAGTACTGTAGCTAAAAGGCTGGAATCCCCCAGATTATTTAAGTTTTGTTTCAGTATCACATGATGTTAGCAGTTAGAGAAGGTACTGGTAACCTAAATCCCTTTGTCATCCGGAATAGTGTTGCTTTCAGTAAACTTTTGTATGTACTGGGGAATTTGAAGAGACCCCTGCAATTCTTTATTTGTTGACTTCTTTTTAAAATTATTTTGATTCTACAATATTCCGCCAGACTGGAAATTACGAGGTTATGTCCATTTTAGTGAAGACAGATTTATTGTACATGTTTCAAATTTTGCAGCATCTGTTATGTCCTATTGCATGTTGTAAAAACTAGCATTAAATACTATATTTACTTAGCCACATGGTGTAAGAATAGTTTGAGTAGGCATACTCCCCTAGCTTTAATCCATATTGCAGTGGTAATAGTTCAGAAAATTTTGTAGAACAAATTTCAGCACAGGCTGTATGAGCTTGGTCAGGACTCAGCTTGACAGGCTACACTCATATTCAATCTCCTTTTTGCTATGAATTGTAAAAACTGGATTAAAAATAATGCAGCTATGACTATCTGATCATCGTCATCATATTCAGAGATATATAGATTTTGATATCAGAACAAACTGAAGTTTTCTGAGCGCTTAATAATATTCAAAAGTTTGAGTCCGAATTTTTCTTTAGATTTTATTGTGCTATTGTACTACTATTCTGATGCTATCTTGGATTATTTCAATATATTCGCACTTAGGCAAAACTGGTGTAGTTATTGTGTATCAGTTTCAACATGTTTGATTTTGTTCTTCAGTTCTTTGAGTCAGAGTAGAAATATAGGCTTATCTGTCACAACTGGTAGCAAAATTTTACATCATTGCAACAGAAAATATCTTTGCATTTGTAACTTCAGAAAGAGTATGGCTAACATGAAAACAAAATGACAATCCAGGAGTCATCTTATTTCCATAAATATCCAATTCTGAGACTCTTTAGAATGCTTTTCTAGACATGGAAATGTTTCTGTTGGTAGAAGCCATTTGATTATGGGGTTATGAAGATGCCTTTTGAAAGATAATAATTTAAATTTTAATAGCTAAAATGTATATTTACTGTTTCTCTGTAGGCTGAGTGTGTCGCTCGTCCTCAGATGTTATTTGATGTAGAAGAATTTGAAGTTCTTTGAAGCTGTTGCTGTCAAATGTGTGCTGTGTCACTGTCTATATCTGATTAAACACATTGTGAAAGTCTCAACACTTTTATGTAAATCTAGCTCAGGAAACAGGACTTGTTTGGGAGTAGGAATTAATAGTCACATTAACTAATTTGTCTGAGCAACAAAAATATCCATTGCTTTTAAGGGCATATAAAACAGATGTTTACAGACAAAATAAATGAAAAATAAAGGACATTCTTCAAAGAAAGTAGTAACAAAAAGCGTTGCAGACGGCAATTGCTTACTTTCAAAAAAAACCCAACCCTATAATTCTTCTCAAACTGTGGAATACAATTGAAGTTAATAGTGTGTTGTAATTGAACAGGCAAATCCTTGATCACAGAGTTTTTCATAGCAGAGGCTTGTAGCACAGGTTTACCATCTTACTGCATTGCAAATTACTATATTAAAAAAAAAGGTACCAAATAGAGTAGACATACTTTCAAAACAAAATAACAAGTCAAAATTTTATCCAACTTTGAATTTACTAGAAAAAATTCCTCTATCCTAAGAAAATTTTATTAATTTTATTATGCACTGCTGAGTGAGCATTGTTTACATGGAGTTTGAAGAAGGATGCAATTTTAGTAACTTCTTTCCTCAATTGACTTCTTGTGGCATACATTTCAATGCAATATTGAATATTAACTGCTTGCTCCTGGCAAACAGAAAACAATTTTGCAATGGCATACAGCATAGATAATATCTTTTTTCTTCTTCTATAACGCCATATAAATGTTTAAGAGTAATGAAGTAGAAACAAGGATGTTATTTCACCTGGAGAATGCTTGTGGCTCGCTGAAACAAAGTGCCTCAGTACAATGTTGACTATAAAACATTTAAGAAATGCCAAAGACTCTCTGGTCAAACCTGTGTTCTGTTGCTGAGATCCTTCTGCACTTCAGGACTCTGTCCCAATTCTGTCCTCTCTTCTGTATGTTTTTGCCACTACTGCGATTTCTGACCACAGTAAGACCCATGGAAGACAGGAGACACTTAAGTATTGGGGACATGATATTGCATAGGATACACTCTTCCCGTACCTTAAAATCACCAAGTTCTGTTTGTGGATCTAGTGTGGCTCAGCCTGTCCTAAAGAGCTCAAAGAGTCCCATGGTGTCTTTGTCATGTAATTCCTGGGCAATGAAAGAAGTAGCTTAACTGTTGTGTATGTACTTTACTGCTGTATTGGTATTAGCACTCCTGTCTTTAACTCTCAGGCAAAACAGAGATTAAAGATTTGCTCACCTGCTTTTTAATGAGCAAAGCTAACTTCTGAACTTCTGATCACTGTGGCTCAGATCATTCTGAAGTTGTTGCAAGTCAAGAGATGTTACTTCTAAGATACTGTGTTTTGTAACACTTTGACTTGTGTCTCATGTAAAATAGGGTAGCCTTTAATTACTTCCTTACTTGCTCGTTATTTCTGTGTATCCTGTTACCGTTTTTTTCATCTGAGAGTGTTCTCCTGAATCTGCTGAGACAAGTAAGGGAAGGAGAAGCTAGGCTGACTTCCCAAGAAAAGAGTTATTTTGGATACGCAGTCATATATGAATGCCAAATATGTTTCTCATGACCTTTGTTTTCCACATCAGAGTTACATGCTCTAGAAGAACTGTAACAGGCAGAAGGTTTTACTCCTATGTTCACATCTTTGCAGTGCTGGTAAAAGATCAGGAAATGGAGGATATTTCTGTACCATTTCTTCCCAGTTCTGACTTTTTAAAATTTAGGAAGCACATCTTTGTATCCTTGGTTGCCTGCTTAATCATGCCCTGTCAGAAGGAAATTCTTGCACGCTAAATTTTTTTCAGTTTGACCCTATTGCAAGTTTCATATTTCTTGTCCCTGCGGACTGATTATCCTTCCCTGGGGAAGTATAATAAGCATGGAAAAGTGTGGTTTAAAAATGCTGTGGCTTAACTGAAATCCAAATGCAGGCGTCTTCCTTTTGTGTTTTTGACTAGACAAGGACCCCTCCCTGCTGGTCTGTCCTTACTTGACTCAGAAATGAGTCTGATTTCTTCCAACATACCTAAGGCCATACAGATGAATAATTGGGTTTGCATTTTCAGAAGTGGACCAGTCAGCTTGGAACACGACTGCCATCTTGAAACACCTATGTAATGCTTATCTTGCGATGAAATCTGATGTATGAGACAATGTTTGTCAAGTCTGCTCATTCCCTCTGTTCGTAGTCTTGGTGAAGTTCAGTAAACATACAAATGCCATTGCGAGCACTAGCTCAAAAGCTGCCAGTAACATGTCACTGCCTTAAGTGGTCCTCTGAACAACTTTGGTAGTCCAAAGTACCCTAGAAATAATCTTGACTCCTGCAGATGTATAGTGACTTTGCCCGTAACTTTGGTGATATTTATTTTCTAGTAATAGCATTGCTGGGCCAAGGAAATGATGGTACCTCCCAGACTTAAGTGAGCGGGACCCCAGGGAGCAATACGCCAACAAAACACATTGCAAAGACACTGCCACCCATGTACTTATTCTAGAGTTGGCATGTGAAACAGTGACCACCAGTTCTCACTGGTACAGAAGCAAGTTGTGTAGGGAATTGGACTATTTTGAAAGAAAGGCCATACAATACTAACACTTGCATGAAGAACTCGCATCCTACATTGCTGAAAGGATCTGCCATATTTGAGCCCTTTTGCCAGTTTTATGGAATATATGGTATCAACTGTTATTTACTGGAATTTTTCTAAATGTCTTTTAAAAAAGAAAATGTTATCAGGAATAGAACTGGCATGAGGAATTAGTATGTTTCAAGTGTTAGTTTATGCACTGGAAGGTAATACACATTACTACCAACTAGTTTAAACTGTAGTTGAACTTAGTGTATTCCTGAAAGGCAAGACATGTCCTGGAGGGGTTCAGTCCTCCTGCCTGTTATCTGCCCTAGCTCCTTTGGAGGGAGTGGCAGGCAGGAGACTGGCTGAGTGGTTGGGTAAGGAACTGCTGCATGCCCACGGTGGATTTCTTGACTCTGTTGCTGCAGTCTTACAAGGATCTCTTCTGTGAAGTCTCTTGATTGCTCTGTTGGTGCCAGGGTTCCTTAGATGGTTATTGTAATCCTAAGCATTACTCTTTACTTTAGATATGTTGTAGCTGGCCTGCTCAGAAATTTCCTGCAGGGTATACAGTCAGAGCAGGTAGCAGTAAAGGATAGAAGAGGGGAAAAATTGAGTCTTCAATATTGCTCAGAGGATCATTCTTCAAATGACTAAGCAGTTCAAATTTACTTCTGTGGCTAGAAAATGACCCCTCTAGAGTACTGTTTATTACCTAGGATTACTTATGTAGATGTGCTCTCAACCTCTTCTAAAACCATTTCCATCCTTAAAACAAACCCCCAAAATCCCACCCCAAAACCTTCACCCTCCAGGGTATTTACAAAAGAACAATACAACATTTATTTCTTTAGCACATTGTAATGA